GCTGTAGTCACACCTCTGATTGCAGTGTAGACATACCTCTCGGAGAGGAAGACCCATTTTCAAAAGGGAAGTCCCACTTACTTCCAGTGAGATTTAAACTTCTAGGGGCCAGCATTTGTAAAAATATTTAGGTAGCTAAAAATGCAGAGAGGTGCCTAGGTGCTTTTTAAAATCCCACTAGGTGCCTAACTCCTGTTAGTTGCAATGGCATTTAGGGGCTTTTGAAAATTTCAATAGACATGTATTTTTAGGCACCTAAAAAGGCAGGGCCCTGGAGCATCCATGGAGTCAGTGCCTATGCTGGGTACCTTTTATTCACCTTTCTGTGAATCTCTGCTTTCTATTCTCACTGAACTGCTAGGCAACCAGAGCAAATAGGAAGAAAGTGCCCTGCCTGTATCACTCATATGGCCATGCATATCCGTTCCTACCACAAGTCAGCTTGTGCTTTCCATTTCTAACATACCCTGGAGTGACCCAGCGAGACTGTGAACATCCCCGCTAGAGCTGGTAAGAAGATGCCAAATTATTTTTCAGATTTTCTTTTGTTTATATCTATCTATCTGTAATCTCCCAAAATACTTTTCTGGTTTTCAAACAAAAAACAGAATGGAAAACTGAAAATAAATTCAGGTTTTGAAAACTGTTTTCAGTAAAAAAATTCAGTTTTCAAAAACCCCAAATTGAATTTTTTAAAGAAAATTGTTATCAAAATTTTTTTGTTTGTGTTTTGTTGCTGAAGGAAAAAAACTGAAAATTTTGACCACACTGAAAATTTCTTGTGAACATTTTTGTTTTGGTCGCAAAGCTATTTTGTGTCAAAAAAAAATGTTGACCAACTCTTATCATAATCCTTAGAAGAAAGGAAGCAGAACAAATCTAACAACAGCCTTGCAGATGAATTTTCCCTTATGGGACTGACAGCACAGGGTCATTTACATAATATATTAATTAAAAGGAAAGAAGAACATGACTTCATGTCATTGGTATCTCCAGTCAGGCTGTCTGGCAGGATGAACTGTCCCTGTTCAGTGGGCAGGGCCGGCTCTAGGCACCAGCAAAACAAGCTGGTGCTTGGGGCGGCACATTTTTAGGGGCGGCATTCTGGCGCGGGCCATGTCGCCCCTAAAAATGTGCCCCGGCCGCCCTAACTCACCTCTGCTGCTGCCGCTCGCGCGCCGCTGCTCGCCCTCCCTCCCAGGCTCTCAAACCCATGAGAGTCTGGGAGGGAGGGGGAGACCCTGAGTGGCCGCGGCGCACGCGCTGCTTCTCCCTCTCCCTCCCTCCCTCCTAGGCTTGAGAGCCGTGGGGGGAGGAGCCA